GATGGAGCAAGAGGCCCTGGTGGGATCCTCCTGCCTTACACCACCCATCTGTGACACCCCTCCTCACTGCTCCCCGGGACAGGACTGGCACTGCTGGGCTTTGAGGGCGTCAGGGCTGCGAAACCCAGTGACCTGGGGGGCCCAGCTGATGCCAGTACCTGGGCTGCCCCCCCCCAGCCCCGCCACCTGCAGCTTCCCCGGCATGTGCCTTCCCACCAACCAGCAGCCTGTGTTTCAGTTTTTAAAAATTTTATTTATAACAATATCTGTTTTGTTTAGTTGTAAAGTAATCCAGCAAAAATTATTAAAACATTTCCCCCCAATAAAAGGATGGGGTCGCCCCCCGCCCTCCCCCCACATGCGTTTGTTTACTTCTACTATAAAAGCTAGGTCATTTCCATGTTTTTGTTGTTTTTGTTTTTTTTTTTCCTGTTAAAAAATGTGCATGTTGGAGAGCGGTCGAGGTGCAGGTGACAAGCCGGAGCGAGGGGCTGTGGGGCTGGGCCCGCCAGGGACGGGGACCCTCTACACCGCAGTGGGGCTGGGAGCAGCGGTGGGGGCCTTTGTCCCTGTCCCTTGTAACAGTCGGGCAGAGCCAAGAACGGCAGGGAGCAAGGGAGGGGGATCAGTGGAGGAAAAGGTGGGGATGGAGGGGAATGGGGGGCTGAGGGAGGTTTGCAGAGGCCAAGCTGCAGGAGAAGGGGGGACCCGGGAACAGCAGATTTGGGGGGGAAGGAAAAGGGGCCTCCGGTGAGGGGAGCTGCAGGAGCCAGGCGGGGGACAGAGCCGAGAGCTGGGGAGTGCGCGGCCCCCGCTCTGCCTCCCTCCTGCCTGCGCCATCGCTGCCTGTGCCCCCACATAGCAGTAACCCCATGTCTCCCGTCAGCCCTGGCTGCGGCGGCCCCACTGAGTTCGTCCTGGCACATCGACTGCGGCACCATCCCTGCTCCGAAACACTGGCTTGTCCCGCGGGTGGGAGGGGGAGGGAGGGGGGGCCCAATGTAAAGAGATTTAAAATAAACCAAAGCCGGATCTGGCAATGAGAGGCACCGAGGCCTGGTACCGGGGAATATACAGGTAATAATACTGCTCACATAGAAAAGTAATAATCCTTCATTTGTACATTTATACAGTGGCTCTTGGCTCCCCCGGCCCCTGCCCGCCTCCTGCAATGGGTGTCTGTGCCAGGCCCGGGCGCTGCGGCCTGGCGGCCCTTTGCCCCCGTCCTGCCCCTATGCCAGGGGGTCCGCCAGGTCATCATCCGCGCCCCGTGACAGCAGCTCCCGCTTCTCGTCCGTGCTAGCCAGCGAGTTGCGGCTGTTGTGGGCGCCCATGTACAGTGTGGCATAGACGGGGTTGGTGAAGTTGGTGGGCTGCAGAGAAGGGGGGGAGCAGGTGGGAGGGGGCACAGACACCTTCCTCCCCACGAGAGCGGTCCCCAGAGGCGTCCCTTGCCCCAGGCTGCCTCAGCCAGAGCCCACACCAGCCACAACCTCCTCCCAGTACAGCACCCCTGCCGCTGTGGCTGCCGCTGTCCCTCCCCACAGACTCCAACCTCAAAGACTCTGCGACCCCTCGGAGCCCCCCAGCCCCCTCTGCACAGACAGCAGCCCCAGGGAACCCTGACACTGCCGCAGCAACGTGCCCCCTGCCTCAGCACATGCCCCCTCTGCATCCCCCACTTCGGGCTGGACCCCGTGCAGCTGACAGCCCCTCCATGCCACCGTGGCCCCGCTCCTCACCTTGTCAGGGTCCAGGGCGAAGTCCGCATCCAGCAGCTCCCCCACGTCATCGTCAGGCTCCCCCTCGTACATTTTGTAGGTGGGGTTCCCAATCTCCACGTTCATGGCACCGTTCGTCATCCTCTGGTGCTGGAAGCCCTTGGCGCTGGGGAGGGTGTGAGACAGAGGGTCAGTGCCAGCAGCAGAGGGTGCAGCGAACAGGGCCCCCACCTGTGGTCCTGCTTGTTTGTCCTGCACAACTGAGGCCTTCAAGCCCTGCAAGGACAGTTTCTGTCCTGGCTAGGTAATGCTTCTTCCTGGCCCCCAACAGCCCGGACTCACCCTTTAATCCTCCACTTGTACCAGACAAAAGCCACCACGGTGAGGAGGATGAGCAGCAGCAGGATGGGGATGACAATGGAGGCCGTTCCTGCGGGAGGAGAGGTGCGGGTACAGTCAGAGCATGTATAGGGGCTGGCGCCCACGCACCCCAAGCCCTGGGCAGCAGCAGGTCCAGCAGCCTGGGCTGGCCCTGCCCTGCAGTAAAAGACCTGCCCCCTCGCCACCAAAGAAGGGGGTTCAGGAGTTGCACGGGGGCACAGGGCAACCCTGCCTCCACAGGCAAAGATGCGCCTCCAACCCTCCTGGTTTGGCATTGCGCCCTGCAGTGCCCCCCCCGGGGCAAGACTGCCCCATACATACGGTTGCTCTGCTGCTCACTGACAATGAAGTCCTCGCAA